GCACCTGTGACCCCTCTGTGTGCCCCTGAGGTCATCTCAGGTCATGAACGGTCGCCAGCAGTTTTTTGGCTATAACTTTTGATAGAGACGTGCTAGAGCGGTGAAAACACGTCAGATGTGTTCAGCTCGACGATACGGATCGACTGATATGCAACATGACCCTTTTCGGTCAGGTCATGACCTTGACCTGAGGTCAAATTTTCAAAATGACCTTTCAAGGTCAACACATAGTTCATTCGACGCGTCTCGACGAGAGGAACACGATGCTGGCAAAAGTAATGTCATGGCGCTTATGAGTCAAAAGTTATTGACGAAAAAACGTTTTTCGTAAAAACGGCTATTTTTGGAGTTTTTGCCCTCTGGAGGCTAAACCGTTGACCTGAGGTCAAATCTGAGAACATTACTCAGAAAGGTCTGTAAAAGGGCTATCGAATGCGCTTTTCCGCGGCGCTGTAGCTCTATCGGTTCCCGAGATAGCCGTTGGCAGTTTCCAAATTGTTGAAATAGTCAACATTTTACCTTTGGTGACCTCTGGTGACCTGACCTTTGACCTGACCCAAAAAATGACCGAAGTGTTTTCGTCCTTATTTTTGACGCTCTTTCGATTGCCGCTTACCGCGTGTCGCTACGTGGCCCAGGAGCCGAGTTAGACGGGGGGGGCGTGAAAACGCCCCCCCCCCCCCCCAGCACTCGGCGGAAAGTTCAGGCCACCAGCACGGCGCGGGTTAATCTTGGACATGATTTCAACACGTTTGAGATTAAAATAGCGTGACCTTTATATCTTCATGATATCGTTGGCGTGTTATGCTATGAAGCTCCCCCAAATGACGGGAATCCTAAATGATCGGGCCGTATTATTTATTTTTGATGCCAAACAACCTTGACAAATGCTGTAAAACATACCAATTAATGTGAGAGGCTCAAAATTGTTTATAGACAAATGAAATTCGATCCCGAAGATACAAACCTGCCAAAACCATCTTCATAAAAAGAAGTAAGCAAGGTGTTTATAAATAAACGCAATGCCAAACCAAAATTCAGGGAAAGTTTGCAATGCTCTTCAAAACAACACCTAAGCTTATCTAGGAAAAAATGGAATGAAACGTAGTTGATTATGTATTCCCGCGCCCCGTAGGGGGGCCGAAACGGCCCCCCCTGTCCATTTCCCTCGATATCTCCTAAACAGCTGGAGATATCGCCACCAAACTTTCAGGACCCCTCCGCGCATCAATTTTACACATTGTAACCAAAAATTTTTTCCAGAGACTATGATAAGTTGGCCACAAATGACGTCAGAATGACGTCATGTTCGGCCATTTTCGACCGAAAAAAGACCTTCGCGAGAAGAGCTGTCAGACCTACAGCTTCGAAGATACAGAAAAATGATCGACACATAAAAGGTGTAGTATTGACAGGGCTATAAAACTGCTATATCAGATTTTTGACATTTTTGAGTTTTGACCCAAAAAAAAATCAAAAATGCAATTTTTGGGATATATTAGCCAAAAAATCCAAAAAGTTTTTTTGAGTTTTGAAAAAACCGGAATATATGTGATAGAACCTACCGTCTTCTATATACATACCAAATTTCAGATCGATATCTCGTTTTTTGGCCAAGTTATAGCGTAAACACTGTGCAAAAATGATGACGTCAAATTTTCAAACTCAATTTTTGGCAATTCTAGACAACGTAGAGCAAAACAAAGACCACCATTGGACTCCCCGTGACGAGTTGCATCAAATGGATACCCATTTTATGCAAAAATATCACCTTTGAAATTTGACCTAATTTGACCTGACCTTGACCTGACCTTGACCAAAATGTGACCTAAGCTGGCTCCAAAGGCTGTCTGACCCACATAATCGCATTTGTCATGTAAAATGGACCATAAAACATGTATCACACGACACTTTCATATTGTGACCCCCGGTGACCTGACCTCGCTGTGACCTGACCTGATATCAGTGACCTCAGATAGCAAAGTATATGTTTTACGAACAATGTACCATCGATGGTTTTCAATAACTTCCCAATTTACTCGATTTCACAACACATTTCTTGAAATGCCTGTGAACGGTGAAAATCTGACATTTGACCTGACCTGTGACGTCATCGGTTTGACCTAGGTCAATGAAATTTGGTCACAAGGTAGTTCCCTGGTGGAGCTATCGATCACCGTTTGAATTTTGAAAATCGGCCGGTAAACTTCCGAGATCTTAGGGGGGGGGGCCGAAACGCCCCCCCCCCCCCCCTTCCCCCCCCCTACGGGTGGTAGGGTCCGCCGGTAGCCCTACGGGGCGCGGGTTTTTAAGTGCAGAAAAACTGCGATCCAAACCAATCCCTCCTTTAGATTTGAAATTAAGACCCATGAAAAAAATGGCTGCTGAATTAGGAGCCTTGTCTACGTTTCGCGAACGTAATTGCAATGCTTGGCACCAGCAGGTGTCAGCCAGGTGTACCTACCAGTGAACAACCTGACGACTATCAGCTTCCTCATGATAGGAAGCGATGGAAGAAAGGTACTCGTAGTCTCGTAGTAGCCGCCAGACACCTAGATAGTTTACCGCAACGTAGACACTGCGTTGTTTCGTTATCCGCGTGCAATTGAATGGTCTTTTTCTGTTGGATTTTTCAGTGGAAATAATGTGCTCTTTAACTTGTGTTCAATGCTTTGAGATTGCATTTTTCATTGAGAAATGTATCTGGAATGGACTTAAGATAATTTGGTTCCGAGCAATCTTTTCTTCGTGCAGCGGCGTGAAAAGTTGCACTTAATTTCCCTTTTTCCGGTCGAAAAAAAAATATCGTAAGAAGTACAAATATAGCAGCCAGGAACAACACCAACACAAAATGTCGCACATTGGCGAATTTAACCCGCGCCCCACTGGGGTCTGTGTATAACACGCCCTACGGGGGGGGGGGGGCTATTCATAGCCCCCCTCCTAACTCCGAAACTACTGGGCCGATCGTCAAAATTCAAACGGCGTCTGATAGCCCCGGAAAAACTGTCGAACGAAACCTAATTTCATTGACCTCGAGGTCACCGATGACGTCACAGGGCAGGTCAAAGTAAAAATTATTAGCACTTTGGCTTGTTCACAGTTTGGGCTCTGGCCGCCGTCTTACAAGTCAGATCAGGCTCATTTTTGGTTTCCACACTCGTGAACAGATGCTCTAGATACCTTGAGGGTACCAAACTTGTACTTTGATTTTCAGGTCAGGGTCAGGTCATCACAGGTCACGAAAATATTATATCATGCGTCGGTCACGTGACACATGTTTTATGGTCCATTTAGGCCATAGATTTCGAATTTGATGTCGTCTGTGTCATTCGAGGTCATTTTGAGTCGAAATTAGCTTAGGTCAGGTCACTTTCAGGTCAAAAAAGGTCAAATTTTGAAGTTGAAATTTTTCAACAAAAAAAGTGTCTATTGGATGCAGTTTGAGCTCAGGAACACGATGGTGCCATTTATATTGGTGTACGATGCCAAATACGTACTGAAAAATTGATTTGAAAAATTAATAATTGTGAATTTTTTGCAATAATGCGTATAACTTGGCCATTTTTGAAGATATTTAGCTAAAACTTGCTAGAGTTAGTCATAATCATGCGTTCTGTCATATATATTCCGGTTTTTTCGAAAAGTCAAAAACTTTTTGAAACAAATATAAAAATATAAATTTTGAATATTATTATATAAAATTTTCGAAATTTTCAAAATTTTGAAAATCCGAGATAGCAGTTTGATAGCGCGGTCAATTCTGAGTCCTTTCATGCAAAGAAATTGGATCTAGTTAAAAAACTGAGCTCTTGGGAGCGATTGCCGTGGTTCAATGTTTTGCGTCGAAATCGGACGAACATGACGTCACTCTGACGTCATTTCCGGCTGACCTATGGTAGCTACGAAGTTCAAATTTTGACACAAGGTGTCAAATTGATGCAGCCGAAGGTACTGAAAGTTTGGCGTCGATTCGTCAAGCGGTTTGGAAGTTATTGCAGAAAAACGGGAGGGGGGGCTATAAATAGCCCCCCCCCCCCAGTGGGGCGCGGGTTAAGGCCGATGGATATCACAGCAAGTTTCCAGATCTGTGAGCTGGCCTGTCACCCATCTCCAACATCCTTGGTGAGCTGGTACGATACCGTTCAGGAATGTCTGCCGACCGGACCCGCTGGTTCCCGATCAACCCCTCTCCCTAATGTTCAATCACGCTCTTGTTGAGACTAAATCTCTCCGCACGACCCATCCTATCGCTGGTGTTTCTCACCAATTTGTTCTCACGGTTCCCCGCGTAATGCTGCTGATGTCATGCTTTTTTACATTTCTGCTGAACACGGTTTATGGGCTTGATGAATACCATATGTCGGTTTGCATAATTTTTATTCATGAATACATTTGACTGCGGGTGCAGATAGCCGCCATTGTCCCGCACGACGGATGCAAACGTACAAAGAAACCTTTTAATGATAAGAAAATGAGCGACATTACCGCAAGCGTAATATGAAGAAACTGCATTCTACTGTACATACTAGAGAATCTTGCGACACAAATGTGTATGTGAGATCTGCCATTACGTAGACCGAGAAACACTTCTCTTTTGCGAACCAAAAGTATAAAACACACAGCACGGAAGTCCTAATCACATCACTCTTTGCTCGTGGATATCTCACGTTTCGCACCAAATTTCGCGTCCACTACATTAGCATGCATCGGTGGCGACACGCGCCGCGGCTGCGCGTGCAAAAAGTCCAAAATTTGGCGCGTCGGCGCTCGTGACGCGCGCGGCCGATAAAAAGCGCGCCTGATTACAGACTACACCTCGCCGGTCGGCAGCCGACGCCGGACAGCGTGCGCCGACAGAAAAACCGATCGGAAACAATCGGCCGAGTGTGCGCGAGACGGCCGGCCTCTGCCGACGGGGCGGAGTCTGAGTCGCCGACGAAAAACACCGCCGTAGGGCAGACGCCGCCAGCGGCGCGACGGGGTGCCGCGGACCGATCGGAGACGGTGGCAGGTGGCCGAGGGCGCGGCCCGTGACACGGCAGACCTGCAGGGTCACGGTCAGGGGAGTCAGGGCAGCAGACAACAGGAGTAAGCTGGCTGATGTGCTGGAGCACTTGATGTGTCAGTGTTAGAGTGTGACGCTTTTTCATTTGATAGCGGAAACGCGGCGAAGTGTACGAAGGTGAATTGCTAAGTCGGAGGAGCAAGAAACCAGGCTGAAGCATTGGTAAAGGCGAGGGATCCTGCTGAAGAATTGGCCGGCAATCAAAAGTCGCAGGAAAAAACATCGAGAGGACAACCCGCAGAAGAATCGAAAGTCCTAACCCGCTGGAAATTTAGCTAAGAGGCGCATCGAAACTGTTTCATAACACATCATCACTGCAGGGGACCATTCACAACTCATCAAGGCCATCGAAGTTGCCCTGTCATCATCTAGAGCATTTTGCATCGCCAGCTTCCCACCAGCCCTCAAGCCGGGCGGGCGCCTGCGACAGCGGCGCGGGTGGAGCCCCACGTCCATCCGTCCGTCCGTCCGTCCGTCCGCTGGCGGCCGGAGCCCGGCGGGGGGCGCTGGTGACCGGCGGCGCTGCGGCCGTCTTCCAGCCCTGATTTGCACCGATTTCTCGGCGATAGCCGATTAACTCCGCCTTTGCGGTGGCGCTGGGCGGCGCGTCGGCCGTCGGCAGCGCGGCTCCTCCATGGTGCCCGGTCCGGCGGGCGGCCAGGTCCACCGGTGAGCCGGCCAGAACCCGCCCCCGAGGCGGCGCCGCGCCGCGCCACTGCCGACCGTCTCAGTTGACCAGAGCGGTGACCACGCGACTCGCGCGCGCCGCGGCGGTGAGCGATACAGGGGGCGGGCTGAGGAGGAGCACGCCGAACGGAGGAGCATTGGCGGTGCCCAGTGCCGGAAGGAGGACACGGTTTTGGACGACAACTCAGGACGGTGTCGAGGACAAGACACGACGGGGTTGTACGAGCACGTGCAGTGGAGCCCGGGACATCAGTGCCGGTGGTCTGAAGTGGACTGGACCGCGACTGACTGCGAGTGACACTAGTGACTCGTTTATGGACTCCGGAGAGACCAGCAGACTGTGAACGTGCCGGCGCTGACGCTGCTGAGCACCGCGCCGAGATAGTGTCCCCGCTGGCCCCCTCGACCAGGACCGTGGAGTCGCCGGCGGCGGGCCCGGCCGCCGAGCCCGACCACCCGGTCTCCAGTGGGACCGCGTTGACCTGCGGGGACCTGAGGTCAACTCCGTCGGGCGCGGCGATGTCGGCCGCCCTCACGTCATCCCCGGTGACGCCACACCCGAGTATGAGCATGTACCCGGTGCAGGAGTTTGCCGCTCCGCCCAACATGGAGATGTCGCAGTACCAGTACTTCCCGTACCGGCCGCGACCTGAACAGCAGGTACGTGGTACATCGGGTACAGCGGGTACAGCGGGTCACAGGAACGCCGTGTACACCCTGTTGGATCTCCTGCTACCCACGAGGGCCCCGTGATATGCGCCACAGGTTCACCAGAACACTTAGCGTGGATGCCGGGCACATGTGTTGCGGGTTCCCTATGATAGATCCAAAGGGCTCTAGCGATCTCAGGCTTCTGCATTACAAACTACGGTTTTCCCCTGGTATGCATATGATAGATTTTCTTAGGCCGGTTCCTTTTAGACATGTTGCGGGTTCCCCGAGTTTTGGATTTTGAAGATTCTCCTACAGTGACCCGGCAAAGTATGCATCAAAGGTGCGCTCATAAATGCATTTTCATAGGACTGTGCCCTAGACACATGGAAGCTCCGCCACATACACTGTTTATATTGAAAAAATCGCACACATAAACATTTTATAAAGCTCTTTATTTTATGTAGACATAAGGCAGCCATCAAACTAAAAGCGCGCCACTCGCCCCAAAGATCATGGGTGCGATGTATCGATGAGCCAAGCATCTTCAATGCACGGGAGCAGGCAAACTCCGTTCAATATCATCATTACCATGCATAGCTGCAAGCCATAGACACCTATCCCGTGCTAATGCCCCTCAGACCGGCAATCGGTCACACAATGGGGATGATGTTCTATCCACGTGTGTGTAATTGCTGACGATGACGACAGCAACTTCTTAGACAAGTGGGCGTGGCTCTGGTGATACCATCAGAACGCGATCCATTCATGCGGCACGCTATCAGTTAACCGCCATGAGCCACAAATATCGCAGTGGCGACTCAAGAAATAGCTACAGTGGCTGTTCTAAAAGTAAGGGTACAATAAGGTAAACCGGAGGTCCCGGGTGACCCGCTTGCATTGGGAAGTGGTGGTGGCTGCACACAATGCTTCTGTCATTGTGGTGTCCGGCTGGTGCCGCGATCGCCGCCAGACGCGACAGGTGTCCTATCGCGCATACACTGGTCAGCGTGGCACCTGTGTTTCCGAGGACCTCTCAGTGACATACTGACACCCTCGGGACATCAGGAGACACCTGGCAGCTCTTGGTGATCCTTGGCTACCCAGATGGCAATGAAGGACACCAACTGACCCTTGGCGACATATCGCTACCCTTTGCGGAAGCTATGAAATGACTCCTACAATGTTCAGAGGTCCCTTGGGATGTTCCGGCAGACCTGACGTAAGGAATCCAGAAACCCCTGGCGACCCTTAGCAACCCAAGGAGACACCGACCGATACACCATCGGCACACCGACTGGCCACTATTACCTTTCCCGGCCGGCCGCCAACACGGGTTGAACCCGGTATCACATGGCACACCGGTACGCCTCACCGACAGGTGTTGTATACTCGCCGTGTATTGTGGTGTATCTCCTGCGCCGCGGGCTGCCGGGCCTCGCCGCATGTCTACCACCAGCTGCATGATGTCGGCTGGAGGCAGCCCTCATCAGCCCCGCCGGAGGGCAGCCGCGAACTGATGAATCATCCACACCGTGCCGTCCGACCCAGGTGTGGACTCCGGGTCAGGAAATGATAGCTCGAGGCGCCTCGTGCCGCCGGAATTACCGACAATCTGCCGCCTCGTCGAGATCACCACCACGACGGACCCAATGTCGGCAGCGGCCGGCGCAATTAAGCACGAAATCTGGGACCTCTCAAGTCATTTTCCTGGGAAGATCTTTACATCGCATTAGAGCCGAGGATGGACCGTCCGTAACTGGACTGCGATCTGCCGGACTGGCGATAAGCGCCCGCCTAAGTCCGTAGCAGGTTTGCTCGGAGCGCGTTATCGTCTGGCAAATCTGTGGGAAGAAAGACGAGTTTTCATACCGAGGCATCGGCGCGCATCCTGATCCAGGAAACGGTCGCCATCTCTCGCGGCGTGGCAGAGTCAGAGTTATTTCCGCGACTAGAGTTATTCAGACCTTTCACGATGACTGTGGTTTCCTAATGGGCTTTATGACACGAACGACCTGCCTGAGGCTGAGATCAGTCTCAGCATCACTGAAACATGCCGTGAGTCTGAATCTGATAGGAGAATGATCCTCTCTGGCAGGACAAAGAAATTAGCTTCTTTCATTTCGTGCCCCGTCGTGCACGGGTAACAAGTGCAGCTTCTGACTGCGACTACCCCTCCTCCCCCGTGCTCATCTTCTCACTCAAAAACAGGTTCGGTTGCGATCGACAGCCGACGCCTCGTCGCCTCGACACCCCCCTTTATCATCTCTGGTCAGTGTGCACGCCGTTCTGTGATTAGCACGCACGACCGGCGACTTAGCCACCCCAAATCACACGGACACGTTACGCAAGTGCGCCGGGCGCGTCTCTCGGCGTGCGTCACTGCTCGTCTCCGGCGGATGATGAACGCTCGTCCCCGGTCGGCGACACGCGGTACCGCCCTGTTTATCGATCTGGTCCGCTCCGGCGCCGATTTCTACCCGTCCCGAGAGCGTGCCCCTCGGCGGTCGCGTCAATTATCAACCGGTTCACCCTGCACAGAGCCATTCGTACCGAGCCGAACATGTGCGCCCATTCGGCATTTGGCGACTGCCGATTGGACATTCGAATCAGCTTATCAGTTTCAATGTATGTTACAGCCGAAACAACGAGCGAACCGGCCGGCCCGGCTTAATTAAACAGGGCCCGGCTCGGTATAGAGCCCATCTCATTAGAAAAGTCGGCCCAAATGGGACGGGTGTGACGCGTGTTGTGTGCCGGCCGCGGAGCGGGGTGGGTCGCACAGGGGAGGATGCTGGTTCCTGATTGATTGCAGAGAGCTAACATCAATCAAACACCGACCGCGGAGGCCTCAGGTCGGCTCGGTGTGCCGGGCGGAGGCCCGCCGATCAAATGACCGATATTTATTTGCGTCTGTGCGATTAATGTGGACGGCTAAATACCGGTAGCGAGCGCTGCGGGCACGCTGTCGGCGGGCTTACTTAGCGATCGATTTATGACAGCTCTTGAGGCCAAGTATGACCATTTTACGAAGCGTTCTAGACTGGATCTGGGCCTCCTAAATCAATAAGTGCCCGAGTTTCCTTGACTGCCGCGGGTTAGCACTCCCCGTTCATTTGTCTGATTCTATCGGTTGTTTGCTGCCGTAGAGGCGGTGGCCGCCCTAAAAACCCGCTCCCCGGCCGTGGAATATGAAAGAGTCGGACTGCCCGCCTGCCGCCCCGACGGTCCACAGCTCCTCGCCAGCTCCCACCGGGCTTAGCCTGTTTTCCTTTTACTCCTTTTTCTCCCGCGCCTCATTTAATCTCGGCGAACTTTTGAGACAGCGCCGACGCGCAGAAATGCAATAAATCAGGCGTCCAATTATAAACACATTCCGCGGCACGCTTACGGGAGTGTGCGGAGGTGAGCGGAGGCGCAGTACACCGGTGTATGTACTGCAGGGTACTTGCACTGATGCATCTCATCGAATGGGTTAGCGGTGATGCTCTAGCATCTCGGAGGAGCCCATGTGCGCTGCATCGGTTGAAACGGTGAGGGCGTAGACCAGCGCCGGCTGGACGCCGGGAGACACAGTTTCGAAAGGTAGCGATAATGCCGAATAAGCTTATGAACAAGAATCACATATGAGGATTAAGAAGATTTGTTGAAATTAATAAAGCCAAAAGAAGTTGATTAACCAGTGAAAGCGAGTCCTTTTGCTCATGGGAGGCACAAAGGCCCAGACCAGACCAAAACAGAGTCATGGAGCGTCATTGCCGTGCCAGCGAGCACAGTGACAAATCCCCACCCCCGCCGAGACCACCGCGGCCGGGTCGGTGTCGGGTTTCTCTGGGTGGAACCACCCACGTGCAACCCGCCTCCTCTCGGCACCTCTGGCCCGACCACCGGCGGCTTCAAAGGGCTCCGCCGCCGCCACCGCCGCACCAGATTCAGCCAATCATCGCCAGGCCATTTTTAACCAGAGCGGCGCGTTTGAGACGATAAACGGCGGCCAAAGCGGCGCTAACACCGCGTCGCGCTTCAAGGCGCCGCGACGTAAACGCGGCGCGCCGCGCCACTTCCGCCGCCGAGAGGCGCTCGTGGCGCACCGTAGACAAGATGCTGATCAGAAGTGGTGATTTGTTATGGTTAGGTGGCGGGTGGGAAATGATCAGGTTTCGGATCTAATCATACCATTTAGTTTATCGACTGATGCTTCTTGGTATAGGTATCTGAGGTGCAGTCCGAGGCACCATGAAAACCGATACATCATGATGTTGTATGTTTGGTGTGACGTCTTCCTCGCAAACATAACGACCATATACGGTTACGATTTCCAACCGTGTCCCGTTTAGTGCCTCAGACTCTCCCATCCCACATGGTGCCAATTTCATAAAAAAAAAACTTCCAGAGTTCAGACACATGCGCCGAATGCTATCAACAAAGCCAGAGCAAGCCAGTTTTATATCCTCCACCAACTTGGAATACCTCAGTGGCCAGGCTTTTTTATCGCATATCACTTTACATATTTGTCACTGCGTTATCTTCGAACTGCATGGACCAGGTCACCAGGGCCCCTCTTTCGCCAAATCTCGCCAGAGATGGGTCCACCTGTTGTCCAGCCTCAATCTATGGACCATTTCTGGCCAAAGATGACCACCTGTTGTCACCAGGAACGGCCATTGCCGGCCCCACCCGGTCCGCCTGTGCCGCCACCACCATTTTTGCGTGTGAAACTTGTCAAAAATCAAAACCGTTAAAGGCGAAGCCAGGTGTCCGGTTATAAAATGCCTTGTAATGACGCCGAACACAAACTATCGTGCCCGAAAGTCTGGTCAAAACAGCGCACTTTTCACATATCTGGGCCCTTGTCGCCCAAATCTGGCTGCTTATCAGCGCCCACAGTTGTCGCTGTTCTTGCACGCCGTGCATTTTCTGTGTCACCGCCGGCTTAGACTTGTGCGCAGACTATTGTGGACCAGATGGTGAGTGAGTTAGCTCCCCTACGTCCAATGAAGGCCGCGAGT